CAGCGGCCGCGCGGCTCTTCCGGCGGCGCAGGAAGGGGCGGTGCGCGCGGCTCCGGTGAGCGGCGGGAGCGGCGGCCCCGCGGGGCCCGGGGGGCTCGGGAGGCTCGGGGGTCCGGCAGCCCCGGCACCGAGTGCCGAGTAGCGGGGCAGGCGGGTGCCGGGCTCCGGGAGGGCTCCCCGGGAAATGCCGCCGCGCAGGGGCTGCGGTGCGGCCGCGGCAGTGCCCCAGCCGGTCCCGCGGCCTCTCGGTGCTGCTGGCGGGGAGGCGGCGGGGCCGGGGCTGTGCGGTCACGGTGGAGGAGCGGGGCCGGGGCACAGGGCTCATGTAGTACCGTTACCGGTACCGAGAGCCGCGACCGGGAACCTGGGTATTGTTATCGCTTTCACCAGCCTTATCCCGGTGCGGGAGATAAGGGAACTGCAGCCGGGTGTAGAAATTGAAGCCTGCGTTAGAACCAATGGAACCTGCGCTAGTGCACTTACTCTTTTAAGTTCTTACAGTGCCTCTCTTTTCTAGGAAAAAATGATTTCTGAAAGCAGTTCTTTCATGAAGGGCGTGGTGCTTGGAGGAGTCTTTTGCATGTTAGTTACGCTCCTCGGACACATTAAGGTGGGCCACGGGACCAAAGCACATCACCATGAGCATCATCACATCCAGGCTCCCAACAAGGAAGATGTCTTAAACCTTTCAGAAGGTGAACGTGTGGAGCTTAGTAAAAGCATCCGTGTTTACTGTATCATCCTTGTCAAACCGAAAGATCTGGGACACTGGGCTGCTGCAAGGGAGACCTGGAGCAAGCACTGCGACAAGGCAGAATTCTACAGCTCGGAAAAGGTCAAAGTATTCGATTCTGTAGCCCTCAACTCCAAGGATTTGTGGGTGATGATGAGAAARGCTTACAAGATAACATATGAACGTTATAAGGATGAATTCAGTTGGTTCTTCCTTGCATATCCRACAACATTTGCCATTATTGAAAATCTCAAGTATTTCTTACTGAAAAAAGATCCCTCGCAGCCTTTTTACCTAGGCCACACTGTGAAATCTGGTGACCTTGAGTATGTAGATGGTGAGGGAGGAATCGTCTTAAGCATTGAGTCACTGAGACGACTCTCCAGTGTTCTTGAAGACCCTGACAAGTGTCCAGAGCAAGGAGGTATGATTTGGAAACTCGCAGAGGACAAACAGCTGGCAATCTGCCTGAAGTACACCGGGGTGTTCGCCGAAAACGCAGAAGATTCAGAAGGCAAAGATGTCTTTAACACCAAATCYGTCGGGGCCCTCATTAAGGAGGCCATGTCCACGCACCCGCAGCAGGTGGTGGATGGCTGCTGCTCTGACATGGCCATCACCTTCAGCGGGCTGGCCCCCAACCACATGCACGTGATGATGTACGGGGTGTACCGGCTCAGGCCCTACGGCCACTCCTACAATGATGCCCTGGTCTTCCTGCCCCCACCGGGCTCGGACAATGACTGATGGCACCATGGAATTGGCTCTTCTCACCACACACCGTTSTACTGACACATTCTGCTACTATGTGTACAGGTTTTTTTGCACACTGAGGGTTGGTAAAGCTCTTAATTTTAAACGTGGAAGGAGAATTTTTTTCTAAATCTTTTATAGAGAAATGCSTCTGGCTTTTGACAGTGCTGGAATGAAATGATGAAAAGAAGTTGTTAATGTTTACTATAAAAGAAAATTAAGTTTATAGGGGGGGTTTGTACATGTAAATATTTATTAATGAAAACTCAAATGAACTTTAGTGTACTCTTACAAATATATTTTTGCAAKACTTTGATTATTTCAGTTCTTCCAGGCATTTCTAGAATGTCTTTATATCTTTCTAAGATGTACCAATAAAACTGACTACAGATTCAGTCTCCAAGACTCTAAGCTGTTTCTTTTACACTCAACTACACAATAGCTTGAGCTTATACAGGACCTGCCACTTCACGTATAGCCTTGTAACACTGTAAGGAATTACCAGGAAGCAAGGTGACAAGAAATCTTTTAGGAAGTTGCAGCAKAATAATATCAAGTGCCCTTTGGACTGCTGTTTCTGAGCAGACAAAAGAAAAAGATAAACTGTGTTTGAGTAAGTATTAACATGGTCAGGGAGTCTGTTAGCACAAGATTAATTGCCCATTTAATGTTTTGCTCCATCTAGAAGCATGTTAGAATAAAGGCTCAGTCTTATTTTCACTCCTGTTAGTGGGTGCTAGGAGTGTTTACAAGGAAGAAGTTGGTTAATTAGCAGTACAACTTAGTGTTTGGTTTGGGTTTCTTGGATGTCTCAATAGCAGTTTTGTTTYTTTCTTCAATAGAGTGCACTCAGTTTTTATAGAAGTTTCTGGGTCACATTTCCTTCCACTCACAGCACATTCTGTTTACTCTATTTAGAATTCACTGACCTAACATGGGTCTTTCAAGACTTAAGGGTCTACACCCATATGTTACATCTAGGACTATCACAGGCTTTGTTGGTACTACAATATTCATAAAACATGGGAAGAGACGGTGTAATCTCACCTATAACCAACCAATTGTAACACCTTACTGTGAGCTGAAGGGAGCAGGTGGAGAAGTGGAACAGCTGCTTCAGAGCTGATGAAAATATCCACAACTTGGGGATTTTTGTTTTAAGCATCAGGTTTTTGTAAGAAAGGGCCTGCTCGGGCCCCCAGACAAGCTTCCACAGCTCAGCTGTTTCCAAAAGGTGAAACAAGATGCACCTTCTCATCCTCCCTGTCACTCAGAGCTCAGCAAGACAAACATGATTGTACATGACTGCTGCCAAAACCTGGGTAAACATTGTACTTTTCATGTTTTGCTAGAAGAGCATATAAATTAAGCCTGATATGACTTGTATCTTCTTACGGAACAATACAGCTGGGAATACTCTGACCAAAACAGACGAAGAAAGTAAAACTTTGATATCAATGTTTCTGATATTAAAAACAGTTATGACCCCCCTGCAACAGCCATCTATAGGAGAAAGAATGAATGAACAATTTCATTCAAGAAAAAAATGTCATTTGTCACAGATTTGAGGTACTGTAAGACAAAGGAGAAGGTCATGTGGAAGGGTAAAAAGAACCACTGAAGTACAAACTGATTTCCCATAGCACKAACCAGAAATCAGTATATTTATAGTGGAACCTTTAAGATGCATAGAAATGTTCATCAGCATTCTAAAGGTCTGAGTTTGATCAAACRTTTTCTGCAACACTGCTTAAATTTTGTCTTCCTATGCTGATAGTTTCAGATTTACTCAGAARCACAATCATGTAAATAATTTTACAGCATTTTAAAAGCAGTATTAGGCAATACATTCCTTTTCGCATGTCTTAACTTGGCTTTAGAATGAGATGGAGAACACCTTGGCTACTATCTTCTGTAAAGGTCCCAGGGTGGGGAAACCAAGCATGCAGAACAGCACCAAGACAAGACACAGGCACAGGAAGTTACATTCTGCTGTTAGAAAATGCATGTGTTAAAGACTTGAAATACTAATAAAAGCTTCCAGAGACAGTTATGAGTGGTAGACCTTAAAATTTTGCTTCGTTTATTACATTATTCCATTTTTCCATAGGCATAGCTTTGGGTATGCTGAACAAAGGATTGGGTTATCCAGACAGACACAGTGCTCCTGAACCCTGTAGCTGAACGGACATGTGGCAGTGTGCACAAGCTGAGAGCTCTTGAAGTTCCTCCTGAAGAGTTGCTGCTGGCTACACTGATAACCATGTTTTGCTTATCATGCCTTTATTTAACAGTGATTTTGTTTCTGCTCCTAAAATAAGGCTGCAAACAGGGAGTAGAGAGCGTCAGGCACCAGGGTGGCACACGGTCCATTGGGAGTGTGCCCACCATTACTATAAACTCCACTAGAAGGAGAGCAATATCAAAGTGTTGGCAGGTAAAAATCTGAACATAGATATAGTCTTCAGATAYGAACCAGCATAAAAGAATTTCTAGTCCACATATCAGTCTGAGTTCATAAAACCTATACAGATAAATGCATATTAAAAAGAGAAAATCTTTAAGTAAAATGAAGTTAATGCTGTTAATAAGTTAAAAAATAATGTCAAAAAAACTGATTTCTCCACATTCAAGAAACAGGTAGACTAACAAGATGTCAATCAGAAGAAAAAATCTGAAATGTTTCAGAGGTTTTATAAACCATATTTATATTTCACACACACTTCATATTACTCTTTTAGAAGAGCATAAAAATGTAAACATTTCTTGGCTTTTTCCTCCTTTCCATTTGACATAGTCTACTCACAGTCCATGCAGAATCTTTCATCAAATATCTTCAGTCACTGAAGACTTGGGTTTAAGACAAAACAAAACAACTGTAATAAAAAGAAATCTACAAAACTATTGTAGCCTAACAGTACTTTTGCATTCAGCTGATTTATTTAGCATAGCCACAGAACAAAATAATTTGTACATTCAGTCACATTAAAAACAAGGAATTACAAAGCAGTCCACATTTAATCTAAGTGCATTCCTTTGGAGTAACAGTTCCTGTTGTTTCACTTGTATGTCTTCATATGCCAAAGGCCATCATTTAAATAGTGGATATTTTCAATACCAATCCCTTTGTTGACCTTCTCTCTGTAGAAGGAGGAAAAATGTACACAAGTATTAGCTCGGTTAAATAGGAAAGCAGTACAACATACATTATTTAAAGCAGCAAGTGCAACATCTGTCAACTGGAAGGGGAAAAGCTATCAACCACAAAGTCATTATCTTCAACAGCAGGTGGACAAGAAACAATATTTGTTATTACATATGCCCACATTGCTGACTGATAAGAGGACAATATTTGCCTTCCACATTTTTTCAACAGCTTTCCATAGTACTTTTACTACTTCTTTTTGGAACACAGTTCTTCAGACAACATTTCTGCTACTTCTCTTAATTTCAGCATTTCTCCATCAAAGCAGTTCAGCAGTTGTGAGCTGTTCCCTCCCCACACRGGACATGGTATAAGATGACTGGAATGTGGAATCTGACAACTTCTGGTTCTAAGGGTGCCACTGACAATCAAATACAAGTGAGCTGCCTCTCTGCTAGTTGCAGGTCATCTACTCACTTGAAAAAGAATTAAAAACTATAAATTTATGTGCCAAGGACTTGCAGCTTGTTACAGGTGTGCTATCCTCTGTAGTACTGATTATCTTTCGTCATGTCATCTTCTAAAAATTACCRGTTTGTGTCTACACTGAATGTGTTTGCTTTTCCAGTGCATAATTCCACAAAAAAACCCCAAACCTACTTTTGCCACAATAAACRAGACAAATCTCATTGTGGGAGTGAGAACAAGTTTCATTCCCCTGCAGAATATAATTTACTCTATTTACACCAAATATTCTATTCCACAACTTGTCCAAAAGTAATCAGGAAGGAAAATGCTGCTAACACAGTATTAACACATTATGTGTGGTAATCACACCAAGAGATTGAAATCCCACTGGCTAAAACAGAAAACTGTGGAACACAAAAAAACCAGCTAACAGGTTGCAGAGAGCAGTATCATTTCATTTTACTCTCCAGTTCAGGTCGCTTCTTACAGGAACAGGATCTTCAGCTGCAAGGCTGGTGGATTTGAAGTTAAGAGTTAGGAATACAGAGAACCTTGGTTTTGCAATGATCACAGCAAATCACTGCACGCTTAGGACAGGGACACAAGTAGCTTCTCCCTCCACTTACTCTTGGAGCACTAAAAAGAATCCTGAGGAATATAATTCCTCAAAAACTACAACAGGCCCAAATCCARTTTTCTTCAGTCCCACTACATCCCTGTCCTCTCTCCCTTGTGCTGCATTATGGCTTAGGATAGCAGTCACCCAGTACAGGAGATATCCTGCTGAGAATTATCCCCACAAAAATGAGTGACTTGTTTTCACTAAAACCACTTCCTCACTGTTACAAGTGACAGACAGGGCTGGAACCAACATATCCCAAACCTGATGGGTACACCTCACATCCTGCAAGACATTACAGAACTTAAAATGAAAAAGTGATTTAGGTACTTGGCTTTCAGCTAGTGCTAAATTATAAGAACAACAAACATCCATTTCCATTTTCTGTATCTCTTTTCCTTTCAAATAGTGTTCAGTTTATCCCCTCAACATTTCACATTTCTACATTTCACAAGAGGTTCAGCTAAGCTAGTCAGCACATCAAGCAGAAACATGCATGTGGGTACACCTAAAGAAAAAGCAGGCCACAGAGGAAAGTAAGCCTAGACAGGCAACCAAGCTCTAGCAGGACTTGAGTCTCCGCTGTCCCTGYAGAAAAAAATGTCTTCAATGTTTTCAATCTTCTCAAACCCAAATTACACCTCTTGCCCAGCTAGTAAGAACTTGATACAAGTATTTCCTTGTTTAACAAGATGTTGGAGACGGTATGATCAGAGCACTACAAGTACTAACATTCAGTAGTAGTACTAATGCTGTGTCTTAAAATCCATATTCACATGAAAAAAACTATTTTGATTCCCAATAAGGATGGAAGACATTCCCTGCCTCCTCTTCTTAACCCTGAATATCAGTCAACAAAATTAAATCTTGAAAAACTCTGTAGTTGAACACATGCTGCAACAACAATGCAGTAACCTTGACAGTGGTGCTTATATCCCAAACTAATATGAAAATAATAACATGGCTCAGGTTATATTTCAATTTTTAAAACACTTACATGTCCTCAGCTGACATCTTCATTACTCCCACACATAATGCATGTTGTTTTCCCTCTGCCATTATTGCCTACAAATTGCTGCTAAGGAAAACAGATTCCTTTTAAACTATTTCAGAAAAGTAAAAGCAATATGAAGAAATTACTTCCAAAAACACTTTCAAAAGCCAGTATTGAACTTTTAACCTTTTAGTAATTCTAGAGCTCCAGCTCTTAAAGATAAGCAAAACAATGCACTGAATTTAACAACTGAATCACAGTGTGTAGAACAAAGCATGTATTTATGAACTTGGAACAGCAATTACAGAAAAAAATCTCCCAGTGCTACACTCCATTTCTTCCTTTGTGCCTAACACAGAGATGACAGTCTCTCCCTTTCTGGAACAAAACAGCACATGTTTGTGGGGCCATTTTAGATTCCAAGGCATAGAAGAACTGAGACACCAATTTAAAAACCTCAAGTACTGAAATCAGATGTGTCCTTTTCAGAGCTTGGCAACACGTGATGTTAACTGCTGATCTTTTCCTACAGCATCTAACAAACAACAAAAGCAGCACAGCTTGGTCTTACAAATGCTGTGTTTGCTCAGGGCTCCTTTCTCAGTAATATAATGAGGAGTGAATTAGCACACTTTCCTCATTTTACATATGCTAACTTCATCAAACACATAGAAAAAGTTCTGACTGCCATAAAGCTGATCCTAAACATCTTTCCTAATTCCTTATGAACAGGAGAGAATAATTCTTTAACTGAAGGGAAAACAAGATTGACTAAGAAGGCAGGGGACAAATTACAGTGCACTTCATCTGCTTCTGCAGTTTTGCATAAAATCACTACGGAGTTCCACTTACCAATGAGATTAATGGAACAGCAGCCCACCCAACAGTACATCAAGAATAGTTATTTGGTTTAGAACACACAGTGAAAAAACATGAACAATTTTAACCTTGCCAAGCAATATCTAAATTTCTCCAGCTCTTTTCTGATTACCAGTTATTTCATCAAATCAAATTATAATCCAAAGTAATACAGATAATGACCAACTGAGAACACAAGAACAGAAATTTAACTCATCTCACAGTAAGCAATAATTCCCAGTTAAAGAAGGATACGACGACGGTGTCAACAGCAGCAGGATAAAGCTTTGCTCCAGGAGACGTCAGGCCAGGGCACATTATATTAGCTCCACTCAGGACAAATTTAATGGCGCCTTTATCAACCTGCTGATGCGGGAGAATAAAYGGGTCTAGGAGGGGAAAGATACAGCATTGCAATTAATACAGCACCATGACAACATGAACAGCTCATTATCAAGTCAGTTTAGATGGGGCAATTAGATTTAGAGTGTGCTGAATGGGTCGGAAGTTTGAGAAATTACCAGAGCTCCTGCTGAGCTGTACCATCCCAAAAGGMCAYGAGTACTGACCCAAAAGAASACTTGTACTGAYRTCYCAGACCACATCTTTTATCTGAGAAYCAAAGGTAATCCAGCACTTCACACTTATGGCTTCTGCACACTCACAGACACACAGAATGAGCAACAATTTTCCCCTAAGGAAAATAAGCACCCCAGTGCCCACATCCTAAGAGGTTTTAAAACAAAGGGGTCTTAAATCCCTCAAACTSTATGTACTCATACAAATACTACAACATGAAAGAGAAACAGTTTAACATCAACAGTACAAAAAAATGCAAAGATGGACAAAATTCATGMAAGCTGCCAGCTCTCCAAGTCATCGTTCCAGGCACCCTCTTAAAGTATTTCCAACACTGAGATTTCACTCAATACTGTTTTCTTTGTGATCCAAAACAGAATAACACAAGCAAGCAGAACAGAAGAAAAAGATTGCAAGARTAAATTCTAAAGAGTACACAGCATAAGTTCCTACGGGTGACAGGTATACATTACATCATTAAACTCAGGAGCACAAAATATTTTTCTAGTAAGAACCTACATGTATTTGCGTACCTACTTGAAAGAAGAAAGATAGGGACCAACCATAGCAAATTTACATCTCTGTCCTAGGAGAACCTCTTGAGATTTTTTTTCAGAGCTTTGCACAATTTAATTCTTACTAATCAAAGTTCAGATTGCTTAATATATAGCATGGAAGCAATTCACACGGACATGTGAAMTAGAAAATCGATAAATTCCAGTTGAGAAAGTACACTCTAAGACCTATTCTGAAATATACATATGCATAGAATTAGCAAGCTCTTTTTCATTTGGTTCTACAGATGTTCTGCRGATCACCCTTCCCTTCCCAGCACCACCACCCTCAGGAAACTTACATTTATGAAGCAACCTTAGCGTCGGGTAAAAAATCCCTTCTCTTTGCCTGAAGAACAGCAACTCCCCATTCACAGTCAGGATTTCTATATGTTCATGACTGCAAGATTAAAAAAAAAAAAACCAACCAAATTATTCCAATAGTTACATAACCTTTCTAGAGTTTAAATAAAATATTTTACTTTATGGAGTCTGGTCTATCTTAGCACCTGAGAATAAAGACAGTCAATTAGCWACAAAATTTAAAACTAAAAATATTATCTTTTTGAATGACTTATTCTCCAGCAGTTGTTTCCTGTTCACCTCTTTTCCCCTTGATAAAAATGAAACCTACAAACAAAATATACAAACTGCATTTCTTTGGTGTTGCTTTCTGAATGCAATACAAAGACTAAATAAAGAGAGGTCAGCAAAAATGTACTACCCTCTATTCAGAAAAAGAGAAAATAATCAAAATAATATATGGAAGCTCAAAAATAGTACAAAATGTTACTGACAGGAATCCAAACAAGTCTGAGCTTCCATATCCACAAAGTTGAATATGGATATATTCCCTTCCCTTCAACAACAGGCTGATCCTTGGAGAGACCCTGACTACACTGCAAGTTCCTCAAACATCCTACTAGCATGTGCCTTCAAAAGCACGATGAGCACGTGCCCACTTTCTGGTTTGGCCATAACATGGACTAGTAGCTATTAAGAAATTATGGATGCCTCTCAAAAACACTAATCTCCTGTACAAAGTAAATGTGCAAAGAAATAATCCTAGCAAACCTTGAAACCAAAGTTTAAGAGAAAAGATACTTACCATCTTACTATTTTGACTGGGTCTTTCTTTGGCATGATTTGGTTTAGCCATGGTTCAATAACAGGAAATTGGTCTATCAGTTGATTCTTGATACCTTTAATAACTGAAGTCTTCAGCTGAATGCAGTTTGATACATTCTCCTTTTCATCAAATCTGTCAAGTGAGAAAAGTATTTTAAAAATGTACCAATTGCTGCATAAAATATGCATTTCTAAGCAGCTGTCCTTAGAAATGTTTAAAAAGTTTAACAGCAGCCCAACTGACCAACTCTTAAATYCAGGATTTCACAAGGCTTAAATAGGTCTCCTAGGAACACTGGGCTGGGGAAAGGCAAGGGATCTTCCCCCTTAGTGGCCTGTCTTCATCCATAAACTTTTATTGTGGCCACAAAACACGTGTTTAGTCTCATGGATAAACCTTGGCACACAGAGCTATTTCATTCAACTCCACGAGTACTTTGCTGGTTACACCAACACCCACACCCCTGTTCCGATGCGAATCCTTCATCTCCACCACAGAAGTACGAGAGGCGCTTTGCACCAGCCGAAGTTGGGACAAGTTAATGACTCAGCTCCATTKAACGAGCCAGTGCCCAAGGCAAAGCGGAGGAGGCCGCGGGGCCGCTCCCGCCAGCGCAGCGCCGAGCCCAGGGCTGAGGGAGCGCCGGGCCCGCCCGACCCCTTCCCTTCC